ATAGTACAGAAGAATTTTACTAATTGCCATCTGATAGTTCATGTTTCACTCAGTTCAGTATTCTATTGGCAAAGTGAACCTTGACAAAATGATAATAATGATAATGATAATCATCATTTTAATATACGAGGTACTTTATGTGATTATCTCATGTAATCCTAACTACACACCTATGACATAGCTCATAATGTTACGATCACTGGTTTAGAGAGGAAGAATCTGAGACTTTAAGAGGTCAAGGGATTTATCCAACATCTTAGATCTTGTGTCAGAGCAGGGATTCTTATTAAGATTGTTCATAACATTGGTTGTTGACATCAACATTGAATAGTAGGTATGTACAGTAATAGCTTCTTTTAAGTAACAGTAGTCATTTATACATTTGTTTAAATCCCTTTTGAATTAATACATATTAACTTTGGTGTTGATGAGTTTGTTAGGATTGGTTAAACAGTGCAAAGGGTTATCTGCAACAGCAGAACCAAGGACAGACGGACAGGTGAAGGAGGATCAAGAATGTACTACACAAAAACTCGTTGTCGTCGAGTTGATTCCAACTCATAGTGACCCTATAAATTGTGCTAAAATAGGTTAATGTGCAGTCAGTCCTCTGAAGGCCCCATGCAGGAGCAGGGATTTTAGAAGAGACTAAAGATCAAATTACTAGACAGAGAAGCGCCCAGTGATTTTCCTCCTCCCCCATATTCCTAATCATTTTAAGTGTATTTCTCAGGGCCTTCTCTAATGCAGGATTTGTGTTGAGATTGGAGTAGGTAGAACTGCACATCTCTTTGGCATCTGCAAAATAATTCAGTATAGGGTAAAATAATATGCTCTTTAGGGTTTCTGATACATTTCTTGATAATACCCAGCATTTTCTTCTGAATTTAGCAATTAATTGAGCTGAGGTTTTTGGGGAATAAACTACAGAGACCTTCACAGCCCTTTGCTCGGTCCTGATATTTTTTAAATTTCATGTTATACTTTGAGCTATTTAGCCTCAAATGTAGTGCCTTGTACTGGATCCTGGGATAAAAGATATCTCATTTTTGGTTATTTATAGATTAGTAAGAATTGCCATGTAGTCTAGCACATTGATCTTGGTCTTTTACAGAAGAATTTGAAGCTTTGGACATTTCACTGTGCCTTTCCTCTTGTATATTATTTATAAATGATGGATAACTACCAGTTTGTTTGGAATAGTGGTGACTATAAACTGCTCTGGAATTTCACGAGTCCCCTCTGGAGTTCTTTTGAACAGAAATTACATTTGCAGCTTGCTTGTGTTTTAACGGAAACCCTGGTGGTATCGTGGTTAAGAGCTATAGCTGCTAACCAAAAGGTCAGCAGTTCAAATTCACCAGGTGCTCCTTGAAAACTCTATGGGGCAGTTCTACTCCGTCCTATAGGGTTGCTACGAGTCAGAATCGACTTGACAGCAATGGGATTTGGGTTTTTTTTGTGTGTGTTTTAACAGAGGCTGCATGTGTTGTTCAAAACTCCCCTACTTTCCCTTTGCTTTTCTTCTATAATCTTCGATATATACCATTTAGTTCTGGTGATTTACTAACATTCGTTTTGTAAATTTGGGTTGGATAATTCTGAGTATTGACTATAATTTAACCAATTACCAACATGACCATTTCAGGTATAACTTCAAAGTGGTAATCACTGTAAAATATCCTCTAGTGTAAACTGAAGCAAAAAATTCATTGAATAAGCCAGACATCTCTTTGCCCATAATTATCAATAAATTTACTGAATTTTCTCCTGGCTTCTTCCATTTTGTGTTTTTAAAAAATTATAATTTTCTTCTTTGAGGATAAGGTTGTGGCAAAGAGATGAACGTTTGTTGAGTACCTAATGCTGTAGTATTACCTGCATGGAGAATAGTTGTTGGAACAGAATAATTGCTCAATAAATATTCATTTAATGAATGAATGTATGTCAGGTATTTTGGTTGACATTTTACATATGTGATCTTATTTATTCTTAAACAATCCTATGTGAGGTGTGTACTATTTTTCCTCATCTATATAAAGGAAGAATAATACCAATTTTTTTTATTGTTGTTGAAAATACATACAATCAAACATACACCAATTCAACAATTTCTACATTTACAATTCAGTGACATTGATTACATTCTGCAACCATTCTCACTGTCATTTTCTGAATTGCTCCCTCCCATTAACATAAACTCAGTGCCCCCTAAGCTTACTATCTGACTTTTCTAGTTGGTGTTGTCAGTTTGATCCTATGTAGATTGTTTTTTAAAAAAGCACAATGCTTAAGGCAAACATTCTTTCCTAGTTAAGTTAAACTATTGTTTGACTTAAAGAAGACTGCAGGGGATATTTTGGTTAAGATTTAAGGTTTAAAGATGATCTCAGGACAATAGTTTTGGGAGTTCATCCAGCCTCAATGGCTCCAGGAAGTCTTGATTCCATGAGAATTTGAATTTTTTTTCTGCATTTTTCCTATTTTAAAGGATTGTTATCAGGATTGAATGACTTAATATATGTAAACTGGAACAGTACCCGGCAAATAGTAACCATTAAGTATTATTAAGTATTATTTTACAGGGTTACCAGTGAGGAAACTAAAGCAGTTAATTCACTTTTTCAAGTGTTACACAAGCAGTTAAGGGATTGAAACAAATTTCTAAACTTCATGATCTTTATTTTAAACCTGTTACTTTCTTTGGCCTTGGTGTTTGTCAAGGAGCTCTACAAACTGCTATTTTCCCTGATTTTCATGTATGTCTACCCTACTTTGTAGGTTTCCCATTTTTCTTATTGAGATTATTTTTCAATTCTTTGAGAGATTTTTCTCCTCTTTTCTTAGATTTGGTTGTACATGGCCTTTTTTACTTGACAGGTATGGTGATCCTCAGCACATATTGTTCCTGGAGTCCAATCAATACATTGTTTTAATAGCTGAGAAAATTCTCATTGTTAATGATTAAAATATTTCCCTTCCTAATCTTTTTCCTGGTGAATATAGTTTTCCTTCTTAATTTTGGAAGCTCTTGATTAATACTTGATTTGATTTGAGATATAAGAAGGATGATGTATAAAGTAAACATTCCTTTCTGGCATCAGTGAGTTTAATTTTTTTTTAATTTTCACTTGCTGCTTCACTGTAAAGAGCCAGATTCTCAGTTCTGTTTTCCCTGTGGGTCGTGCAGATGGATAAATGTATTTTCTCACAACATAATCATTTAAATTAACTTCTATGAGACACATGTATGCCAGTGTTCATTGCAGCACTACTCACAATAGCCAGAAAGTGGAAACAACTGGATAAATGGATAAACAAAATGTGATACACATATACAATGGAGTGTCACTCTGCCATAAAGAGAAATGAAGTTCTGATACATGCTACAACATGGATGAACCTTGAAAACGTTACGCTGAGTGAAATAAGTCAATCACAAAAGGACAAATATTTTATGATCTCACTTACACGCAATAACAAGAATAGGCACATGTATAGACATCAAAGTTTATTAGTGATTTCCAGGGGTGGGAGGGAAGGGGGAAAGGGGAGTCAATGTTTAGGAAGCAGTGAATTTCTGTTTATGGTGACGGGAAATCTGGCAACAATTATGGATATGATTGTACAACATGATTAACGTAAGTGATATCACTAAATTGTACACCTAAGAAATGTTTAATTAGTAAATGTTGTGTTATATATATTGTTACAAAAATAAAATGAATAAATTAACCTCTATGGCTCCAAAGCAATTTATGTAAGTTGTAATTCTTTCCTGTATTTTTTTTTTCAAAGTAGAGCCTCTGCCAGTTAAACTTTAGTCAAGTGGAGATCTCTCTAAGAAAATGAGACTGTTGATACATTGCTCAAATTGAAATAGATGTAAAAGAGATTCATAGGACATTCAAATTAATAACAGCATATACCCAAGCATTCTAATATGTTTCTTCAACGCCATTAACGAATATTAGTGAAAAAGATTTGAATAACTCCGAGAAGGAGTGAGGAGGATAGGGAATGGAGAGGTGATCGTGATCTTAATGATTGGGTGATAAACCTGACTAGGTAGGTTGGGGTCAGATTATAGAGACCTCAAATGCCCAACAGAGAAGTTTCAACTTTCCTCTCGGTGTCCTCTATATTGAAAACGTCTTCAGGTTCTAAGTACAAACTCCTAAAATCCAAGATTGATTAGCTTCATATCCTCCGTGTTAAACCTTCCGAATTCTACCCAAAACCAAAACCTGCATTTCAAAAATAAACTTTCAGGTTGTTTGATGATCAAAGAGTTTTCCATCAGCCAATACTGAAATGATGAGAAAAAGGATATATTTTGGAGATCTTGGCACCACTTCAAAGCGTGATAGACCAGAACGCAGAGAACTCTTCCAAGTGTTGGAAGGCAGGAGTTTGGCTGTGACCCATACACACTGGAATGAGAGGCGCCTTTGGAAAACATTTTAAAAGTCTCGCATTTTGGGGTTCTAAACTACGGTAAAATTCATATATGCCTAAAGCTCAACACTGCACCAATTTTCCTTTCCAAATGACTCCCTAACGTTTATCCTCGTGCTTACACTGCTAAATGATTCCTGAGGCATTTACAGTAAGCTTGACAGTCCATTTAAATGCTGTTTCTATATTCTCTGAAACGAATCTCTTTCATCCCTACCTAATATATTTGTATTTATTTTGCAGAACGGAAAAGGTGAAGCAAGTTAGAGATTTTGGACATATGGCCAAGTGACCTATAGTTAGGCTGTGTTGCTTCGAAAGATTTTGGTACCCAAAGCAGCGAACTCGGGATTTAGCATCCTTCCTCTGATCATACATTTCTTAAAGGCAGTGTTCTACACTTTTGAACAGCATCTCCTCTCGATCCAACACCTCCTCCCTGCCCGCCCCCTCGTTCCTTCCCACCCTCTACCTCGCCCCTTCCCAGCCTGCGCATGCGTCGTAAGCACCCGCTACACTCGCGGCACAGGCTGAGTATTGTCGGGGGCTATTCTCTCTCCCAGGAACATGGCGGCGAGTCAGGGAGGTGGTGGTAACAGTGGGGGCGGCGGTTGTGGGGGAGGTGGAAGTAGCAGTGGCGGTGGTGCGGCCGGAGTGGGAGGCTGCGGGGCTGGAGGAGGAGGAGGCGGCGGCGGCGGCGGGACCCTGGCGGTGCCCATCCCGGTACCGACTCTTTTCGGTCAGCCGTTCCCCAACGGGCCGCAGTGGAACCCGGGGAGCCTGCAGCCTCAACACACCGTGCGGAGCCTGGACCGGGCCCTGGAGGAGGCGGGCAACTCTGGCATCCTGAGCCTCAGTGGCAGGAAACTCCGAGACTTCCCGGGCAGTGGCTATGACCTGACGGACACCACCCAAGCAGGTGACAGGACGGGGGGAGGGGAAGCTGGGCGACGGAGAGGGAGGTGGGGGGAGTGGGTGGCTGCGTGGCTGCGTTGTTGGACTCTGCTGATCTGGGCGGGTGCGCGGGGGCGGCGAGACTGACAAAGTCGGAGCTGCCAGTTTCTCCTGAATGTGAGGGGCAAGGAAGGGAATAGGGCAGAGGGGAAATGCTAACTGCAGGATGTATGGAAACTGGCCGGGATGTTAGGGGTGGAAAAGCATTATTGTTACAGCGAGTTTCTCCAGTAAGGGGGAGGGAAGTATTGATACCTGCCTTAATGCACTTCTTCCAACTCTCCTGGATATTCCCATCTTTCCTGAAACAACAACGAAAAAGACAATACATAAAATCGTTAGCTATACATATTCCTTGAAGGCATACATGTCTACAAGACTACTTTTCATAGTGCAGCAGTTTCTCTGTTTTTATTTTGTGTGTGTGTTTTTTAAATTTTCCTGGAATATTCTTAGCTTCTTTATTGTCCTGTATGCCTTTAAAGACTGAGATTTTTCGTCTTCCTGGTGTTACAAGGTAGTGGTGGTTAAATTAGTATTTGCTGCACTAGCAAATTAAATCATCAATCACTTACGGGTCTGGTTACTAGGGGAAAGATAATCCTTGTTTTGAGTTACGTTAGGGTCTTAATTTTTATAGCAGAAAGAGCTAAAAATTTAAGGGCATTTCTGAGAAAAAAATGAAATTCATTCTCTATAGGGTTGTGGATTAATTGCTTATCATTTTGAATGAGAAATTGGCTATTGTAATGTTCTTCAAATACACTCTGGTAGTCTTTGTTGTGGGTTGGCATTTTTTTTTTTTTTTTGTTATGAACACACTGTCTTTCCCCTCTGCCTCATAAACCAGTGCTGATTATTTTAGGTGTGTTTTTGGTTTGATGGAAAGGTTTTATGCTATTCAGAGTTTTTAATTTGTTATTCTTGTATCTGTTTTCATCTGCTTTGCTGATATAAATCATCATGGAGAAAATTATTTTAAATAGATTTAGTAATTATGAAACGGTATAGTACATGAATTCATCCATAATGGGAACTAATAAAAGACCTCTTATTTTCAGAATAAGAGAATTTCTGTGTATTCAGTTTCTGGATATTAAATCAAGGTGTGTGGGTTGGAGGAGAGTGGGTGAGGAGGAAAACCTAAATTGAACTCTTCCACCCAGTGATTCTCTTAGGGATTGTTCTAAGAACTATGAGTGTGCAGTTGATCACTAATTCTGTATTTTGAGAAGCGTATTGGAGTATTTACCCCTTCACTCTGAACAGATTTCCTAAACAGTATATTCACATATTCATGAATGTATTGGCAAGATATTAGACTACTTGATATGTTCTTCAAGGGTTTCAAGAAAAATGGTTCCAGACGGCATCATTCATTATAGGGATATATTGTTTTGCTTATTGTTCATTATAACCTTTAAAGACTTTTTCTATAGAACGAAGTATAAGTATTCTCGCTTGGCACGCAGGTCCCTTCTTTGTCCAGCTCCAATTTATTATTGCAACCTTGTCTTCCCAGATGCTCCTACATGGAACCCTCTGTTCCAACTAAGTCAACTCCCTGCCCCTCAACTATATTTCGTGAATTTCTGTCTCATCTTTGCACAAGGTGGTCTGCATGCTTGGGATTTCCTTCTTTTCTCCGCCTATTTGATTTTGTTCAAGCCCCTACTTTTTCAAGAAGCTGTCTCCCAACTCTTAGTCTACATCAGGCTCCTATTTCTTTGAATTCCCATGTTAACTTATTGTCTTTACCACTTACAAGTGCTGGCTTTATTTTCCTTTTGTATTTGTGTCTTGCTGTTCCTGAGAAGATGGTGAGCTCCTTATAGGAAGGGAATAAGTCACATACTTGTTCAGTCTCCTCATAATATATTGTTTATATTTTATTTGATAATATTTTTCATAAATATGAATATTATAAACTGTGGTTATAACCTTTGGCTTTTAAGTCTTTAGTTGGTTTTCTGGAGGGAAGCTTCAATACAAACCAGAACCATCTTTGTTCTTGGTAAACATTCATCATAGCCTTTATCAGTGTCTATAATAACACAGGATTTATTGAAATAATCGCATCTCATTTATTTTTTCAGTTGAATGTATGTTCCTTGCAGGAGCATGTCAAACTCAAATAGCATAAAACAGATATTGTGTTGTTCTTTTTTCCCTTTAAATGAGAACTCTCTGGGTGGCTTATTTGACCATTCATTTCCGACAAAATTCAGCCTTGAAATATTTAGGGGTGATTTGTTTTATAAAGATACCAGTATCCGTTATGTATAAATAGAAGGTAGGTACACGGGAACTGAAAAAAAAAAAAAAGGAGCGTGTTTGAAATTATGTATATACATACATACATACACATGTATATACACACAGTATATACTCTATTTGATGGAAACACTTCTGTTTTGTGATATTTTACTTAAAATGGCATAATGTTTCAGAAACAAGCTCCTATGCTTTGATTTCAGGGTTACCCAAGTTTGGCTTCACTCAGTTTACTCAATTTCACTTCTAATAACTGCAAACATATTCTACCTAAATTCAGATCTGTCCTCTAGTCTGCCAACGACATACCATCTTCATTCCTACCTCTGTGTTTTTACCCATGCTTTTCCCTACTAGGATTTGCATTTTTTTCTTCTCTTAGTCCCTTACTGTGTCTCATAGACAAACATATAATGATTTATTGGATTGGGAGGAGACTGAAGGAAGGGAAAATAGCTAGGAGTCTATTCTGTTACAATCTAGATGAGAAGTAATGAGAATTTCTGCAAGGGTGGTCAAAAGAAGGTTGTATAATAAGTGGAAAATAAATTTCAAAAGAAGGAGAAAGGACTTTTTGCATTATTTTGCTGTCTCACAAATGCGTAAGATGAAATAGACCAATGGTTCTCCACCCTGGCTGCACATTAAAATCGCATGGGATTTTTTTTTTTTTTAAAACTATGCGTGGGCCTCACCCAAGACCAATTAAATCAGAATCTCTGAGACCTGGAGACTTAATATTTTAAAAAACAATCTTCCCAGGTGATTCTAATATGCAGCTACAGTTGAGAAACCCTGGGATAGCTTTTTTTTAAAGGCACTCAAGAAATATTTGTTGTTTGAGGGAATGAGAACATTGATAAAAATCTAATGACTAATCCGAAGTCACTTGTCAAGAGGGTCAAAACCGAAACCAGGAACTAAGTGTTCAAGTTCTAGTTCAATGTTCTTTTCAGTTGACTTGTGTGAAGCAGGGACTCATTTTGTTTTCATCATATTGTGTCTGTAGTGAATAGAAATTAGGAAGCTGTAATTTCTTCAATTCCCATGCATAACTCTGGTTTACATTTAATAGTATTTGACAAATATGCATTGATAAAATAACCCACTGCTGTCGAGTCAATTCTGACTCATAGCGACCCTGTAGGATAGAGTAGAACTGCCCCATAGGGTTTCCAAGGCTGTATGTCTTTATGGAAGCAGACTGCCATATCTTTCTCCCACAGAGCATCTGGTGGGTTTGAACCACTGACCTTTCGGTTGGCAGCCAAGCGCTTTAACTACTGTGCCACCAGTAGTGTCCCCTTCCCCCCAATATGTGCAGCTAAATCTTGTTTTCTCCGTTAACTACTCACCTTGTCATGAGGGAAAATGTAGAGTAGGCAGCTGTTGGCAAGGTTTATCTTTGGCATCTTTCTACCCCTCTGTTTTTGCTTCTGGTGTCTGTTCTTCCTCCTGTCCCCATCGTGCTGCCCTCCTTGTAGCTTCGTCCTTCTTCAGCAGCACTCACATTCCTTTACTAGAATGGAGCTCAAAGCTAACTGATTATGGTAGGGCTTCCAGAAAATTTACATTTAAAAGGGGCATTTGTTAATTTTCTTGACCCTCTAGTTGGTAGTATGTGTTCATAACTTCGAGTAGATGTGCCTTCACATACTCCTTGACTAAAATTCTCACCTACGTAAAGACATAACAACAGGGATCAGAAAGTTGGTAACCCATTTCAGGAAGGTAGTTGACTTCTATTGTAATGTCTTCTTTGAGATGGTCTGTAGGTAGACTTGGCAGAACAAAGGAAAATTAACTAGAACTTTTTACTCTGTCTGGATACAGTGATAATTTGTTGACCTTAAAGGGCTTGAAAATGAATTTAGTGGTTACCCAAACAAATTCTGAACTTTTTCATAGTTGAATCTGTGACCAGTGCTACAAATACGTGGACGTGTCTCAGCCTCCTTACAGCTGCTCCCTTTGCTTTGTTACACCTCTTTATGACCAGAAGCAATAGGTCTGTGGAACAGATTTATGAATTTGTAAATATATCAGATTGTGCTGTGCTCTGGTTAATCACATGTTTTTCTGTAAACCAGTCAATTCTAGTATTTCCTACATGTGCTGGTTTACCTCTTCAGTTGTGGGGTATGGTACATTGTATGAGGTTGTAAAATGGAGCCAGATAAAGGCAACATCTGATTCTGTTACGTAAGTGGAAGCCCTCTCAGAGCACTCAGTGGAATGAGGTATTTGATTGTGATTTTGTGGCCTGATTCAAACATCAGCCTTACTTTATGCAATAAATATCTTCCTGAAAAATTGAGTGTGAAGCACATTTTATGACAGTTGAATCACACTTTAATTGTCGTAGGTTGAATATGTATTGGTGAACCTCATAGTGATTTATTTCATTCAGTGATGGCATTCTTCTATAACACAAATAGTTGCCCCATAATTTCTTTCTTTTGTAAGTTCAAATTTTAAAATAAAATATTATTTTAAATTGAAGGGTATGTCCCTCATTAAATAATACCATTTATATAACTCTTTATAAATTTCTAACTACTTTCATATATATTATCCTATTGTATCCTAATAATGACTCTGCGAGCTTGGCAGAGTACATAGTAATTACTCCTTGTGGTTGAAAGAGGTTAAGTGATTTGCCCAAAGTTAAATGGCTAGTGTACGGCAGAG